TCCYTGAGCCTGCTCGATGTCCTCAGCAGTCCCTGGAGACAAACTTCTCTGTTCCCGTCAGTGRCTGCAGCCATTTGCTGTTTCCTGTTGTCTTTTTCAGAAAACCAGCTGCTCCCCTACAATGAAATAGCTGCCAATTATAATGTTCCTGCTTGCACAATCAATTTAGAAGGAAGACTGTAATAAACATGATTGTGTCTACTTTTAGGACTATAAGACCTACCTGGACTTTGTGCTTGCATTAGAAAACAGAAAGGAGCCTGCAGCTCTGCAATATATTTTCAAACTGCTTGATATAGAGAACAAAGGATACCTGAATGTCTTTTCCCTTAATTACTTCTTTAGGGTAAGTCTCTTTATACAGGTAGGCCATTTTCTGTGGTTATGGTGTTACAGCCTGTGTGCTTCTGCATACAGATCTGCAGGGAATCACTTTAAATTACTGATACCTACTGGGAGGCTAGTGACTGCTTCTTAGAAGATTTAAAATATTTTTAAAAACACACTCAAAAACTTGGAAAGAATTCAAAATGTATTTTCAGCATTTTATGTGCAGTTGAAATTAACTGGTTTGGTTTCATTTAGGAAAAAATATTTTCTATTGATTAAAAAAAAAAAAGAGAGAAATTGTCCTGAAATTGCCTGACAACTACCTATTAAAATCTCTTGTGATGATTCTAATTGGTTGTTGCCCAAGCTTTTAGTTTCCACTGTGATGCTAAATTGCAATATAAGAAATGAAAGTACTGCGGTGCAGTGATGGCCTGCGGGATGTTACCTGCCTGTGTTTTTCTTACTCTAGTTTTTTTATCCATTGCTTCCATACATGTGTTCTCTCCTTATTGATTTATATTGAATTAATACCTCAAATGTCACGGGCTGGGGAGAACTTGGATAGGGAAATGTCATGTGGTTTAAAAAATAATAATAATTTTGGGGGGAGAAAAGGAGGCTATTTTAGACTGAGTTGAAAGTAATGCATTTTTTGCTGTTCAAGGTCCCCCTTCAGTGGTATTTATTTAGATGCAGGGACAAGCACTCGAGTCCTGTGTGTGTAGGTCTTTGTGCTCTATGTTTAAGAACAAACAGCGTTATTGTGTTTAGCCCCCGCACTATAGGCATGAAAAGCAACTGTATGTTTGGTTCAGCTCTACGTACAGCATTCCTGCCTGCTCAAAGGCACAACCCAGAGTCCTTGATTTCTATATCACAATAGGTCTCCAGCCTGAATTTTGTTGCTAATAACTGCAGCTCTATCATTTTGTAAAAATGGGATTTAAAAAAAAAATCTGGAAGACCTTGTCTGGAATGGAAAAGGGTATTTATAACCTTGCCTTTTCCTCCTCTTCCACTTCCCTCCCTTGAGYAGCTTGGAATAATGGGCTCACGTAGGAGCGCTGGGAGGTTCCCGCTTCCGCCAGGAGCTCCATGCAGGGCCAGTCTCGGGACAGGTCGGGCCGCTCAGGGCAGTGTCCTGGGTGAGCTCCCAGAGGGAGAATGCGCAGTCTCTGGTGGCCACTCGCTCCTCGTGGAGAGCTCCCTGCGCTTCCCTTCCTGCAGCGGTCGTGTCCCTTTGCTGCTGGTCCCCCGGTCGTGCCAGCAGCGTCCCTGGTCTCCCCGCTGAGGGAATGACCCTCCTGCTCCCGCTCTCTTCCCAGGCGCTCGGCGCCTCAGCCTGCAGAGCAGCACGAGGGCTCCGGGCCGGGCTCGCGCTCACTGCTCGGCGTCCGTCCCGTCTCCGAGCTCCGTCACTAACGCGGCGCCGTGGCCGGGGAGCTGTGCTGTGTAACGAGTGTGAGCAGGCTCACTTCAGTGCTCCACTTACTGGGTGGGAAAGAGTTGGGCCAGGACGCGAGAGGAACAAGGATCCTAGGGCRACCCGGAAAGTGCTTGTCCTGCCGCTTTGCAGTCCGCCATTCCCCTGCTTGGCAAGAGGAGGCCCTACCAACGGTCACTGCCTCTGAGAACCCTTAATGAAGGGCTTTAATTTGCAGTTTGATACTTCACAAAACCAGAAGTTTCAGTGTTGTCACAATACTTTAGTATCTTCATGTGAAAATSGGCCTCAGAGGGTCATGGTGCCTGAGCTGCGCTCTCGGGGCCATTTCGAGCCGCCGTTTCCAGCAGTGTCCTCTGCCTTTGCAGACTCCCTGGCTACAGCGGCGCTTGGCCCGGCACTGGCCAAGTGTTCTTGGAAGAGGAATGTGCTGCGTGAGCCGCTCGCAGCGTCAGGAAAAATTCCTGTTGACTCCTTGAATAACTGCTTCTGTTGTAACATAAACGTGGGTGTATGCGCACTTAGCAGGCCTGTGCTAATAATGCTGTCCTGACAAGGCTTGTATTAGTGAAACAAGGGGTTTTGGCCTTAGTTGTGTTCTGCAGGGGGATATAGGCTTTGTGATATAGCTGCTTAAATAGTATCGCACGGAAAAGGCAATAATAGCAAATAATATTTTACTTCAGTCCAGGAATGTCCACTTAAGGCACACACAAGGAATCCTCCATAGGCAGGTGCTCAGGGGTGGGGATTGTTTCACACTGTCTGACCAGCCAGGATGCAGGTTGTGTTTTCCAAGTATCTTGATGTGGAAACAGCCACGTTGCTTTGTCTGTTGATCCATCTTTTATCTTCTAGTTCTCCCTGGTCAGTCCTTAGTGTTTCCTAGCAAAACTAAGCCTTCCAGTCTGAGCCTGTCTCTTAAGCTTTGAGTGTTAGCAAACCTTCATGTCCCTGTGCCTGCAAATCCCACACGCTGAGTGCCTAATAGTGGCCCTAAAGAACGTTTCAATGTCATCCTATTGACTAAGAAGCGGGAGGCGGATCACTCATTTGGGGAATATTTCTCCCCCGCCTTCATTGCGGAACTGAGGAGCTGGTCGCAGGCCGCGCGCTTCCTCCTTGCTGCGGTTCAAGGTACGGATGGACACGGTGTCGGGGTAGCCCTGCCTGCCTCTAACTCTTCCTTTGTTCCTAGGCTATTCAGGAACAAATGAAAATCCACGGACAAGAACCGGTTTCTTTTCAGGATGTCAAGGTTAGTTTTCCTGAACAGAGCTGTGAAATGTCTGAATGAGCAGTTCCTCATTTACGTGTATAATACTGCAGATTCTAAGTTGGGATATACTAAGTTTTGCACAAGTGAGCTGACAAGCTTTTCCTAAGTTTGAAAATGGCTGTTTCTTCAGGAGTTGCTTAGGAAGAAAACTTAATAAGGAAACTAATAGATTTTTACTTAATAGGCAAAGTATCTATACTGCCTTGCCTTCCATTTAAATGTATTTAGGGTGTCTATTCTGTAATTCAGGATTATTTGGGTGGGGAAAGCTGCTGACTGCAAAGTGCCACTAAAAATACCATAGGACACTGCTCCTATCCCTAGCAAGTCACTGGGCTCTGTATCTAAGAAGATTGCGGACTTTCTAAACAGCTCTTTGTAAATTGCTGTGGTTGGCTCTGTTTACCCAAAGAATATTCAGTTTCTGGTGTAAAATAGCCAGTCTTCATTCATGTGTGGGGCTTTTCTCCCCCTTCTCTTTTCTCTAATTTTGCCTTTGCTTTCATAGGATGAGATCTTTGACATGGTGAAGCCTAAGGATCCTTACAAGATCTCCCTTCAAGACTTAATCAATAGCAGCCAGGGAGACACTGTTACCAGCATTTTAATCGACCTGAATGGCTTCTGGACGTACGAGAACAGAGAGGTCCTTGTGGCGAGCGACACGGACAGCGCCGCCGACGCGGATGATACGTGACTGTGACCGGACACATCTTCAACTCGGTGCCGGGAGGCAGGAACTCTCCTTACCTGAGTCAATGCCTCCAACACGTCGTTTCTGCCAGCCCTGCTCTCCCTCTAATATGTAATATATAGGCCCTGTGTGTGCAGGGACTCCTGAACTGATCTCTGAAGCCAAAACAGCAAATCTTGTTTAAGAGGCCACAATGACCTGTTGTGGATTTGCTTGTTTGTTTTAAATAAATATTTTTGGAATCATTTAAGTACTGGATGATGTTCTGACTTGAATGACTGCTGAAGGCTTTGCCTTTACAACCCAGGTTAGCAGGTTTAAGCTTCTTCCTTCTGCATGTGCCCAGCTGCAAATGCCTGTAATAGACAGGACATGTAAATAACTATTGAGCTGATTTGGTAATTTTTTACTTAAGAAGTTCCCTGCTGGAAATAAAACAGCGGAGCTTTAGGCCTAGTTAAAATTAATCTCAATGCCTGCATGAAGGCTTTCAACAATTTAACCTCCCATGCAAGTACTTCATGTAATTTAACTTAATTATACAGCTGAGCAACAGCAGTAAAAGGAGTAAAACAGCCTTTTTTTCACTCTTTTTCACGCACCTGTAACTGTTTCACCCATCAGATGATGCTGCAAGAGTTGCAGGCCAGGAGTGGTTGCCGCCCTGCACTGGTTGTTAGTGCCCTCCTTGCTCAGCCGGTGCTGAACAAGTTGGGCAAGTTACGAGCACTGTGTGGAACCACAKGGGAAGGGTTCGGCCTTGGGTGTCAGTGCTTGGACGTGTCGCTTGAAAGGCAGCGGCCAGGAGGCAYGTACTCCCGGACACAGACACAGAGCTAAAGGCCCCAGCAACGCGAAGGAAAAGCCACAGTCAGTTTCCAGTTCAAAAATTATATTAAATATAAAATAACCGGTTAATAATGCATTTACAGAAAAAATTTAAAGTAACCACTTTCGTACAGTTTGCAAAAAGATAAAAGGAGAATTCAGTTAAGGCACAGTGAGGAACAGAGTGTTTTGTACGGAGAGGTTGAAGCCGCGGGCAGCGCGAGTGCTCCTTAACACAACAGCAAGGGAAGGGAAGAGCGGCCGTGCCAGCGGCAGCACCAGCACGAGCAGGGCCTTCCCGGCAGCACCGGCACGAGCAGGGCCTTCCCGGCAGCACCGGCACGAGCAGAGCCTTCCCGGCACCTCCCGAGGCGCCGATCCCACTGCGCATCCCAATCCCGCTGCGCAACCCGGTGGAGACTGCCCTGGGAAAGGGGCAAGGACGGAAGAGCCGAGCAGCCCCTCCTCACAAGGGCCCAGGGCCGTGGACATACAAGGATACCCAGCGTGAGACTTCACCAGAGCTTGAGTTTTAAGCTTGCTAATTTAAAATTTTAGACTTAATGATTCACACGGTCATTAGTTTTTTGCTTATTTATCTGCAAGTCTTCTGCACTGAAAGTGAATGGGACAAGTTATTTACTTCCCTGTGCCTGGAACACTGAAAACTGATCATCTTAAAACTAAATCATTTACCTTATACAGGCTACAAGTAGGATAAAAGTTACTGCAGTAAAATCTTTTTAATCTGTATTTGGGGCTAAGAGATCTGGAAGTACCTGTACTCTGCTTCTCCAAAAAGAAAATCTAGTATCTTTCCAATATTAAGGTAAGGCCTTTTTMAAAAAAAAAGTCTTTAGTTTTGTSATTTGCAGTTATTAAAATGTAGTCTGCACTACAGGGCAAATGCAGCTGCACTAGCATATGCCCTACCTGCATCCAACATTAAATAAGCGAGAAGCAAGTGTGTAGACTCGGGTGATTTTAGGCAAATCCCACCTTTCCACAGTTACAGGCTGGTATCATAGAGAGGGCCTAGTAAACTTTGGATAATTCAGTAGATCTCCATTGACTTTCCAAGACCATTCAGAGCCTGTAAAGAAGCATTCAGATTGGTGGGCTCTCAGTCGTACCCCTGGAGGGACAGCTGAGCACTGTGAATCTCTGGTACTAGTTAGTAAATTCTTAAGGGAGTTTATAGCCTCTTATTTAAATAAAGCAATAAAGACTTTCAGTGGGTCCTCACGCCTAGTTAACCTTAAAAACTTATGACAAACAACAGAACAAAAATACATGCATAGAGTAGTGACAATAAATAGGGGACTCTGGAAGTTACAATGATGATTTGTTGAGTTACAGGGGAAAGATTCCTATTAATCCATTCACAGAGAGCCAAGCTGCAAACAGTGGGCAAAAACAGGGGGTTAGGAGCAGAGAAGAGCACTGTCTGCAATCGCAAGTGTCAGCTACGCCCAGCCCTTCAAACAGAGATGTATTTACTTGCCTTATGCTGCAATTGGCTGCTCCATCCAATTTAGACCTAATCTTAGCAGTACAATTATTTAGTTTTCAACAGAAGTGCCAATTGGCAGAACAGCCCTGCCTTTCTGAGGCGGGCGGCCGAGCTCGCAGCTCCTGGCTCTCTCCTGGTCAATAAGAATGCTGAAAACTCTATTTCACTGAACGAGTATAAATCTATTTTTCCTGCTTCTTACAGCCAGATTGTGACACCTGACACATCCTATGTCCAGTACGATGCAGAGCTTTATGCTTAGGGAGGGACAGTAACACCAGCCTGCTTATTTTCCACCACAGGYTGGCAGTCTCCCTCAGTTTCAAAGTTTAAATTCACAAATGAGCTGCATGATGTTGCCTCGGGCTGGTCTGTCTGGACAGGAGCTTCAGCCTGCGCCCTGCTCTGCTGCTCCTGGTGCTGTCTCTCTGCTTCCTCTGACATTTTGTTTTCCTGCTCCTCCTCTTCCTCCTTTCAAAAAAAAAAAAAAAAAAAGAGAGAGAGATTTCACAAACTACTATTCATTTGAAATCAATGTTCCTTCCTTACACTTATTCTGCTAGGGAAGGCTCTTGTTCATTGTAAGTTGAAGTATCCCAAGATGAAAACACTCACTAAGGATTGGGCTATGTTATATATAGATAAAATAACTGATGTCCAAATAGGTGTTTTTTAGTCAAAAGCACTGGAGTGATAAGTAGAGAGATAAATGGAGCAAACGGTGGCAATGCTCAGTTTACCCTTCCGATTTTTTTTTCAAATGACAGGGAAGGTGAGTAGAAGAAAAAGAGAAGGAGGAGAAGGATTTCTCAGGCACATACCTCTTTTTTCATTCTGTAATACTCATCAATAGCGTACTGGTATTTCGGTGTGCTTATCCCTAAAACAGAGGCGATCTTCTCCCCAAGGAAATCACAAACTAAAAAGAAAGAGAGGTTGATATGTGTTTAGTGACTAGGAGAAACTTATTAAGCAAGTTCTATTTTAAAAGGTATCACTCACTACTTCACTCGAAACACAGAAATCTACCATGAAAATCTATTTATATGGAGTTGTGGCCATGTGCTCGAGGTGTCCCTGCTGGAGCAGGGGGTTGGCCTAGATGATCTCCAGAGGTCCCTTCCAACCTCAACCATCCTGTGATTGTGTGATATTCCAGCAACTGCTACGATTTAAAATGCACACAGGACGAAAGCAAGTATGCCTGAAAACCCAGGTGGTGCCGGCGTTTGCATTCGAGTAACTTTAGCTCTGCATCTGGCTTTACTTTGCTTTGGGGTCAGTTAAAGTCTTGAACTGAACTGCAAATTAGGGGCAGACGGGAACACCCGGGCACAAAGCGCCCTGGCAGGTGAGCGCAGCGGCGTGGAGCGGCCCCGCGGCGCTTCCCRYGGCGCTTCCCGCGGYGCTTCCCGCSTTCCGGCCCCCCGGCTCCGAGGCTGCCCACTATCCACCTTTGTACACACCCAACGGACCTGGCAATGACTGAATGACGCCTGATGGAAATGATAAAAAAGAATCTAAGGCAAACGCCTGCATCTCCATCCGATGCAATGCAAGCTCAGTCAGACTTGGGAGAGTTGGTCCCAACTCTCTGATCATCTCCGATCACAGAGATGATGCAAAGTCGGCCTGGAAGACAAGCAAAGTTCATTCGCACGTGGACTTGGGAAGTAAATAAAGCAATACCTGATAAGGTGGATGTAGCAACTCTCAGCATGTGAAACCACAGGTAAGGTCCCCACGTAAGCGTCGTCTGAAACAACAAGAACAGCAGTAAGATGTAGAGCTTTGTGTTCACAGCAAGTAACAAGAACAACGACGCAGATGCTCAAACACAGATTCAAAAACGATGGGTGACACGGCTTGTTTGGCAGCTGCCGCAGCGCCAAAATCTCCATTTTTGCTTTGAAATCAGTCTAGGCGAGACCTAGAGGCTGCAGGTGCAGCTGGTCCCTGCAGGCTGCCAGCAGAACCAGCACRGCCGGCACAAGGCGGGACTGATGGGAAAACAAAACAATAAAGACTTCATTCAAAACCAAAGTGAAACAAAAACCTTCATCRTGATCCACGAGGAAGAATCTGTTTCCAAGGATCTGACAAGCAATATGGATTATCATGAGGAAGAACTTCTTCCCTGTGAGGGTGCCAGAGCCCTGGCACAGGCTGCCCAGGGAGGCTGTGGAGTCGCCTTCTCTGGAGGTCTCCAAACCCGCCTGGATGCCACCCTGTGCCACATGCTCCGGGTGTCCCTGCTGGAGCAGGGGGTTGGACTGGATGATCCCTAGAGGTCCCTTCCAACCTCAACCATCCTGTGWTTCTGTGACCCTTCCTCGCCCATGTCACACAACACACAGAGCAACGCAGAGCATCTCGGAGAGCGGCACAAAGCCGAGAGCAGCCGTCCCCAGCAGCTTCAGGTGGTATTCGTGTTCAGTGAAAACCAATACACAGGTGCTGTATTTTGACCTCCTTTGCCACGGAAGTCTTAATGCTCAGTCTTCCTAATCCAAGCAAGGACACTGAGGAACCTTCCTTCAGCAGATATAAGGTGCAGCAGCGTGAAATAAGGGACACTGACGTACTGCAAGGAGAGAAAGATGCTAGAGAAATACTGCCCCAAACACACACCAGCTAGGAAGCAGATTTCACAGTTACCGCTTATGGTTTTGAAATTTCCAAAGACTCTTTAATGTACAATATTAATCTGAAACTCAGTATGATCTCTCCAAGCCTATTTACCTATAAAAGCCATTCCAGTGTTTTTAAGTAGGAATTCCTAGGAGTTCCACCACCYACGGAACCGAACAGGGCTAAGACTCGGCGGCAGAGCACGCTGGTTTCCCAGCACGGGGCTCCCGCAGGAGGCACAGCAGCTCCCCCGGAGCTTCCGAGCTCACCGTGCGCCTCCATGCGACCAATCCACACCCGTATTTATTTTTGACAAGTTTCAGTCCCTAGTAACTTTTGAACTTCCCAATAAATCCAGGTGTTTGACGTGTGGGGTGGTGGCATTCAGAGAAAACAGCAAAATGAGACTAGGAATCACCTCCTCCTGTAGGAAAAACAGGACCTGTATTGGAGAGCTGACAGGCTAACATGTTCCACCAAACAGATCGCTCTCTCTTGTTCACCGTGCCAAGGCACAAGCTGAATGAGCTAAATTTATGCCGAGTTGGTCATCAGATACTGTTGCAACAGATCCTTCAACRAACTCACCATGTAAAACTGCAGCCCCTAAGGGAACGGTCAAAACAAGCTCAGAAACACTCTTCTACCCCAGAAAACCTTGTAGCACATTATAAATATCTATTATTTGGTCACTGACTACTTCTCTCCCTCATCCCCGTCTCCATCATCCCTAAAGTCTTGAAAGAAAATAAGTTTAACAATCTTCACCTGGCATAAAACTAGCAGTGCTATTAGACGTTAAGCTGCTTTYAACTACAGGATATCAAGATAATCTTCCCGTCAGAATGTGCTTCAATCTTTTCAAGCACCAAAGGTTGGCAAGATCAAATGTCTTCTGGAGCTCTGTGGCAGAAATGCTCTCAGAACCAATTCTAAGGTAATAATCCACAGCTACGTTGCTTACAGTTGCTCTTCAAGGACTTGCTCTCCACCTSCTGCTTGCCCACGTGCTAAGCGTATTCAGCAGAGACTTGTAACAAATGTCAGTCCAGGCAGGGAAAGAAAAATTAGTCCTTAATACTGTCCTGGTATRAATTAGTACTTAATACAGGTCCTGGTGGACAGAAGCAAAGGGGGATTTATACACACGCAGTAAGCAACTAGCGATCTTTGGACAGAAGACAGAGTTAAAATTAAAGCTTTTACAGGCCTCAAAGAGACAAGGGAGATCACTCATGTAAGGTTTGGTGCTACTAACTAAAGAAATTCAGAGAAAAAAAATATTCCATATTTAATGCATTGCATGCATTAAAACGAACGCAATGGGATGGACACTCAYATGTGCTTAACTCTGAAGCACTAGGAAACCAGGGCTGTTGAAGGAGAAGTTTCTTCATAATATGGAAAAATGTTTCCCTCCTGCTCTTTCASGATACGTGAGGATGCCAATACCAGCTGAGCTCTGAAATTTCATGATAAAAAGTTTCTATTGGAAATATTAAGCCTGCTTTTTCTAAAAATAAATTGGACCAGAAACAGCTGCTATTTACAACTTTTTTTTCCCCCTTATTTTTTGTATCCCAACSGAGATAACAACTTCTAGACCTGCTGGTCTTGGCAGGCTGGCTACTTAATTGCTTTTATAGAAATCCTACAGTGAGCAGGTTTTTAAGGCAGCTGCTGGCTAACGCATCAAGGCTCAGCTTGGTCTAACATTTCTTCCATTCACCAGCTCGGCTGGGACCCCTGAAGCGCAGAGCACGTAAGGTAAACTCCAGCCCTGGGTCCAACCAGGTTTATTCTGCCAAGTTAAAAAGCAGGGTACACTAAGGCATGCCAGGCTCCATGAGGAACTATTCTGGTTTTGAGGATCCTTTTATTAAAAAATGTAATAAAAATTAAGGATTTCACCAACAGTGCAAGGGGAAAAAGAGATCTTAGCTGTGCCACACAGCACACTTGCGGGTATTCAGGAAAAAAATCCCTATGAGGAAAGSAGGAGAACGACCACGGAGCACTTCTGCCTGTGACCAACGCCTGACGTGTCCCTTAATTATGGATCCATTTGTAGGGCAGCAAGGAGCTCTCCGGCCTCAGCGCTGACACGGGCTCTCCGGAGCCTTCCCAACTGTGATCCAGTGAAATGCAGCGGGAAGGGCAGATCTGGCCCCCAGCTGGCTGCAAACAGCTCTCCTTACCCCGACTTAGATATGAGACACGACCCGCCTCGCGTRCAGCTCGTCTGACTCTGAAGACACCTGAATGTTACCACAGTATTCAGCAACTCTTTCAATTCTTGTACTTTGAGAAGATCATTAGGAAACATGAATAAATAAATAAATTAAAACCAGCACGGTAACTTAACACCTACTTATTGTTCAAAGACTTAACACATTTATTTTCAATAACAATGCTTTAGGTTATTGGAAAACAAATATAAACATAATCTTTATATTCACTTTTCTATTGACACCTTTCTACTTCATCTCAGGCTGCTACTTTCCCTTGTATACATGAACTGCCTAATAAAAACGTGATACTAGTGTAATAAATCCGGTCAAGAGCAAATGAAAAAGCCTCATTTGTGAGTTCCTAGGAAGCCTGGTCCTGGATCCCCGTGGTTTTACTACAGCTCCTTCCACAACCCACTACTTTTTCTCAAGCTAAATTCATCTRTAGAGAAGAACAAGCACTGATTCCCAGGGGTTCCCCAAGCGAACCCGGRCAGCCTGCAGCCCTTCTGCGGGAGGGAAGGAGCAGGAAGGCAAACGCTGCTACAAAATCCCTGCAACAAGGCCCTGCTCCCGTGGGATGGAAACAGCCACAAACACGCACAGGGCCCAAGAGAGGAGAACTGAGGCCCAAAGGCAGCATTTCTCCAGCACTGGTGCCCAGGCCACCCCAACAGCAGGGCCTTTGGCAGAGAGCACAGGGCACATCTCTGTGCATGCCTTGCTGTGCATGTCCCTGCAGCACAGAACATACCCCCTGACACCCCAGCAGAACTACACTGACATTTATACTCCATTTTTACCTATAATCACAGAAAAATCAAAGGGAAATGTATTTTAATAGCTCCAACACCCACTGCTAGGGATGGTTCCAAACTCCACTTTAACATGGATCAACAAACAGAGACTTCATTCACAGGTCAAGCAAAGTCCTGACCGTTTGAAACGCAGGTGACAAACTTAACGTGCACAGACCAAGGAGATCCTTTCACACCTGCTTCTGATGGATCAGGAAGCACATGAGGGTATCTCTACTTTTGCAGGTCATCTGTTTCTTCTGTTCCTAAACGCTACTATGCGAACATTAAACAACAAGTTCAACTCTCCCCGTCACCAAATCTAAGAAAACTAATGGCTTTTCTTTTATTTAAACAGTAGTATGGATCAGKGAGACACCAAGTAAATACAATTAGAGTGGGAAAGGCTGGAGGGAATGGACTCGTAGTGTGAAGAAATTAAATCCATTTCTGCGCAGTCATCTAAGTAGTCCCACTGACATTAACAGGACGAGCTAGTGCCAGTGAAGGACTCCAAGACAGAACTTCTCAGAAACACTTCCTACAGATTTCTCTGCTCCTAGGGGCAATCAAATTACTTGGAATGCTTAATGCACTAGATCAGGTCTATGACATGAAAATTAAAGTATTAAACGCTTCTAGCTATCCAGGAAGCCAAGAGGAACAATTCCATCAATTAAAAATACTTACAGGATCTACTGGAGGCAAGAGGTCTTTTTTCTCTTGTTCATCTTCCTCTTCATCCGTGCTGTATTCTTCCATTGTCTCTCCACTTGCAAAGTGAATGACCCTCCGTGGAACTTTTTTCTTCTTTCCTATGACACCCAGCTCCACATTCTCAAAGCCTCTTTCTCCATTTGCAAGTTGCTGTAGTGAAAAAAAAAATAAAAAGAAATAAAAATTACAAGCTTCTATAAGATAAGCAACAAAACTGGAAAAGAATCTGCCCCGAAAAACTTCATGGGGTATTTAAAACATTTTAGATTCTTTAGGATATAAAATGGATATTAGCAAACAGGTGAAAATTACTACTGAAAGATTTTTGCCTTTGGATACCTGAAAACGACATCTCCTCACTGAAAACAAACAAAAAGAATTGTCATCACCTCACTATGGATAACAAGTATTAATATTCTGTTTAGAAAACTCTCAGTTTCTTAGCAAGAATTTTCTTTTCAAATTTTGATGAAAAAGTAAGTCTTAATATTTAAAATTATTGTGGGTTTCTGAATTAGTATCTACTGAAATTAATAGAGCAGTTAGTAGCTTACAGTTGTCTCTTGTGAGTTTGAACAGAGCCCGCCAGTTACAAAACYGAACTGAATGAAGAGCAACCCACAGCCAGGCCGAGACTTTGCAAAAATGCTCCCAGGAATCTGCCCCGTGGGCTCGCGCCRGAGCCGGCTCCGTGGCCCTGTGCTTGCAAAGAGCAGCACCCACTGGGGGCTAAGGAGGACACGGGTGTAAAGGAGAGGCGAAACGGCTGTTTGGGGATTTTTCGTTTTCCTTTCCAGCTGCTCAGTGTCAAGTCACAAATGTCGGGGGGGGGGAAAAATACATGGTCAAGCTCAAAGTCTGAGCAGTGATTCTTAATTCTTAAGGCTAACAACCTGGAGGGGTTTAGAAAGTRTTTGTATTGCATCTATCAAAGTGAGGCCTTTGTCTCGGTTGAGCTTTTAGATAWTACCGCAACAAATACATAAAACTGCTTCAAAACCTTTTTCTTCCATACAGACAAGCACGTGGGAATCAGGCAGTGCTCACCGCAGGAATTTAACGTTCCCTCAAGGTTTTCTGCAACGGGTGGTTTTCCATCATTTCAACACGCCCCATAACGCACAAAGGCGCCGGGCTCCGCGCYGAGCAGAGCCGCGCTGCGCCCGCGGGAAGGGCTCCGAGGGCCGCGGCAGCGCCCGGCACCCCCAGCCCAAAAACTGCAAGTCACGGCGCTGCCGACGGCACCGCCACGGCCCAGCCCCACAGCTCGGCGCTTCCTCACAGAGAGCRGCAAGCGGCCGTGCCGGGCTCGGGGCCTCACTAAAATATATCATTAGATTACTTTCTCCACCGAGTCTGGCGAGCAGAGCAGCAGCGGAGCATCACAGCTCCGAAAGCCCRAGTGCCGAGCTAAGCTGGACAACTTGCGCTGGCCGTCAGTTCTGCGTTTTTGGGAGCTAAGAGCGGYGCAGAACCTGCGCTTACAAATGCTCCAGCTGCCTCCCCTGGCCCCGCGCAGTGGGTCCATCTCCCGTGCTCATCACGGTGCCGAGCAGTGCCGCTTCCCAACGTCCAGCACCACGGGCACCGCCGCGGGAGCAGCACGAGGCAGTGGGCTCCGCTGCAGGCACCGGCTCTTCTGGCTTCGCCTCATCCAAATCAAATGAGCTTGACTCAGGAGAAAAATTAACTTAGGAAAAAAAAATATTGAAAGTTTAAAAGTAGTCTTTAATTCCCYGAATGTGGAAACCGCACGCTTTCCAATCCTTCCTGTACTTCACTYATACTACCCAGCATAGTTAATACCAAAAACCCCTAGTTAATACCAAAAACCCAGCATAGTTAATACTGGTACCAACTTTCAGGCAAACGCATTAGTTTAAGGAGGTAAGTAGATAAAAGTTACAAATCTTCTGATTCAAGGAGTGCAAACAAATTCATGGCTTCCTTTACTAACTTGATTCAGAGTCTTTACTTATTAAATAAAAAAAAATCAGGTCCGTTGTTGTTTTAGTTATTGCACAGTCAACAAAACTGGATGCTGTTTTTAGTCTACACTGGTATTTGTGGTTTATTTTTACAYGCACAACATCAACAACAGCCAAGCAGAGTCCAGTTAATGCAACACCGCCAACATGATCTACCCAAAATGTGGCACCCAAAGGCACGTGGCAAACATGTCCTGTCCAACACATTCCATACAGGGTCGCTTTAGAGCCAAAATATTACAGCGCCTGGTGCTTGAGGCCTTGCTGATTTTAACTTTCTTTCTAAGAAAGCTCTCGCAAACCTCCTTTCCTGGCCTACATCTCTGGCCAGGTCACCACCTTGTCTCTTCCACAGGCTTGTCCCTCTCAARCACATAAAGATGAACCTTAAGATGCCTTCAGACCTGTATAGCCTCATATTATAAAAATATTAGCTTCAGTTTCTATGCTGTCACTTACTAAAGCTGGAAGCCCCCTCYGCTTTGCTTTCTGCCACCCACCCCGCCACAGCTTTACGTTACWCAGCTCTATATTACAGAGCTTTACGTTACACGTTACGTTACACAGCTCTGCATTACACAGCTCTCCATTACACAGCCATTCCCTTTCCGCGGGCCATTCCCAACGCCCCTTTGGAGTTTGCCATCGCTTTGTGGCACCGCGCAGAGCTCGCCCGTGGCGGGGCCGCCCAACCGGAACGGCTGCTGATCGGCCGCCCGTGGCTGCTCCACCGCCGTGTCCTCCCCGCCTGCTCGCCGCCCGGCTCGGCCAGGGAAAGGCGAAGGGAAAGGGGAGGCCGAGGGCGGGCAGCGAGGGCGGGCAGCGCCGGGGAGCCGAGCGCGGCGCCGGCCGGCGGCAGAGCCGCCATTCGCGAGGCTCCTTTGTGCGCGCGGAGCCGCTCGGCGCCGCTCACCTGCTCGGGCTCCATGGCGCGGGCGGCGGCGGGCGGCGCGCAGTAGAGGCTGATGGCGGAGAGCCCCTGCTCCATGCTCCGCTGCCGCCCGC